GGTGTCGTATCCAGAATAACGAGAAAAGATGTACTACAAACAACACAACCGTATTTGAACCTTTACATTTAAGTTCCTTTCATGCTCATTGAATTTTCCTTTTTTTCGTATGCGTCGCTGTGTGTTAAAATTTTTAGAACCTAAACAGGGTGTGGTTTTTTCTTTGTTTGATTGCCTTTTCGTATTTTATCCTTTTTTATTGCTTTCGTTGGCTTTTTCCTCTGTCTCTGTCTCGTTGTTTCTTTTTTTCATTTTTGTATCTGTCTGTTTTTTTTAATCTCTGAAATTTTCCCGATTGAAACGAGAAATTGGCAGTAATTGCCAAATCGCATATTTGAAGAAAAAGAACGATTGATATTGAAGATAAGCTGTAAAACCTGCTATAATAGCAAGGATTTAATTATAGAATGAATACATTAAGAATACTAATTACTAGTTTAAATATTTTGATTTTTATCATATCTCTTCAGCCAAACAACGTCTTCTCCTGGCTTTTTTGTCCGATTTCACGGGGTTTCGAGACCGAAAAACCCTTCGAAAACGTGTGTGTGCACTACAAGAGGCCTCGCCTGTAGCACCGCAGCTGCCTCAAATGTGATGTAGTGCAATGGTACTGGAAGCTACCAGCCATCAGCCACTGGCCGTTTGATATATTGTGGTAGGTAGCTAACTGGCCACGATCAAGACATGACATTGATTATTTGAGTATGGTGTGGTAATGGCATGATATTGGAAAGACAATTGAATGTGTATGAAAATCTTTGTAGAAGTAAGTTTTCGTATGAAACATAAACACTGTTAACATGAGCATTTGGCTTTGACTGGTTCATAGCGAACGATCCACCCTGATATCATTGATATATAACACCACCACATATCAGATTTTGACAAACTTAAGGTAACCCCGACAAGAAAAACATTGGAAGACAAGATTTCATCATAATGAAGGTCAACCTCTATGAGCCGTTTCACTATATGACCATGAATAAGCACTATGATTCCATTAGTTTTATAGATATGTTTGGCCGACAACATTTATTAAAATTTCCATTATTTTAATTAAATAGCATCATGCCGGCCCAATATAGATATCAACGATATGAAGAAAAAATTAATTTCGGCGTAATTTTAAAATTTTCATATATTTTTTATATAATAATATTAATGAACCATACAGAATTATGTGAATTAATTAATATATTTCGATTGCAATTTTTTAAATTTATATATGTAACTTTATCAAAATCCTATCCATTTTGAATTCAGAAAAAATTATTCATTAAAGAAAAATATATCATAGATTTTTACAATGCAACCAAGAAAAAATTACTCATTCAATATCTTTTGTCTTTTACATATTTCAATAAAGCAAAAAATTTATCTTGAATCATATAGGGATTCACGACACTAAAGATGTGGTGGCAAAGTGATTAAAATAGATTATACGGATCCAAGAAAGCTCTATCGACCCGAAACAAGGCGCGGAAATTTCCGACATAATCCAATTTCAATGCTCACAGACAACGAGAATTTCTGAGACAGGCATCTCAGTCAGATTTCAGCGAACCCATATTTCAGAAATTGGAGCACGTCATAATTTTGGTCGAGTTGACGAGATTTATGCAGGATTTTTTTTGTTTGTGCACTAATAAAAGAAATATTTTTTCAAGCAACTTAGCAAACAGTCGAAAATCATGGGAGGGTAGAAGATACGGGGGGAGGAACCTTTTGTTTGTCAAGAGTGGCCAAGAGGCTTTGTTATTTTGATGATGATTTAATTGAATGGGTGAATTTTGATTATATCGTAAAATGGTCTGAACCTATAAAAAATTACTCAAAATATATAAATTTTAAATTTCTGGCGAAAAAAATAATTTACACAAATAACTCTTTATGATGCTCATTATTGAATTCAAAATCAAAATACATATATATATAGGAATTTTACAAGTGCTCCTAAATTATTTTTTTAAATATCGTAGATATATTTGTTGGACCAGAAAATGATTCTATTTCATTAAAATATTGAGAATTTTAATAAATGTTGTCGGCCAAAAATATCTATAAACTTTATTGAAATTTCATTTTACAGCAAAATTTGGTTTTGAATTGTGTCATAAAATTCAAAATCTAGAGATCAAAATATAAAGACAATTGTCATTCTTGATATATTCAATATATTATTTCTTCAAAAAAAATACTCAAAATCATTTTTTCAATTTCATTAAATGAAAATTTTTAATTTTATCATTCATGATATAAATTCTAAAAATGAGACGAATGAATGAACTTGCCACTATTTTTTGTCATGTCTAGAATCACGGTGTCGTTCTTACTCCTATCGTAAAATTTGAGATCTATTCTCGTTCTTTCAAATCTCTCTTCAAATTTCTGTATCGCTTCTTCTCCCTCTTTTTGTGTCTTGCTTGTTGAATCAATATTTTCTATTTTTTTGATCATTGTTTTTCTTTTCCGTATCTATATCTCTATATTCATGTTGCTTTCATCTTCTTTATTTGTCTTTTTCGCTCTCTATCTCCTTTTCGTTCTCTCTTTGATTTTCTTTTTTTTTAAATTGTATTTTATCTTTTTTATTTCTATCGTTAGCTCTCTCCTCCTCTGTCTTTCTCTCCCTGTTTCTTTTTCTTTCATTATTATATCTCTCTGTCTTTTTTTTATCTCTGAAAGTCTCTCTTATTTTAACGCTGTATCTGTCTGCCTTTTTTTCTTTCTGTCTCAGTCAGTTTCTTTTTGTCTTCATATATTTCTTTCTTCGTTCTTTGCCATTATTTTGTTTGTCTTATTTTTTCTGTCCATCGATGTCGCAAAAAGCATGCGATATATGAAACGAGAAAGTGATAGTGATTATTCCCAAGTCGTGTCTTCTAAGAACAAAAACAATTGATATTGAAGAGAAGAAGTTCTAAAAGTCGCTATCATAAGAATCATGTCTATTGCCTATTTCAAAAAAGCAATAAATACATCCTGAATCATGCAAGGATTCATGACCCTAAACATATAGTGGCAGAGTATTTAAAAGTATTCTATCTGAATCAAAGAAAGCTCTACCGACCCGAAAATAAGGAATACGGTTTGACTTGACAAGGATCAATAGAAATGCGGAAATTTCGATATTATCCATCCGTTCCATACTCACAGAGAACAAGAGTTTCTGAGACAGGTCCAGTCAGATTTCAAGGCACCCATATTTCAGAAATTGAAGCAGAACACGACGTAAATTTGTTCGAGTTGGCGAGATTTATCCAGAATTCACTTTCTGTTTGCGCACCAAAAAGAAATAATTTAGGCAATCTTGATCAGCCCCGCGGAAGAGTAGTGGGAGAGGGGAGAGGAAGCGGGGGGAGGGAGCTTCGCACCTAATATATATTATACCAAACCCCGGATCCTACTGTCGCTGCCTGAAGCGGACGCAAAGACGGCGCATAGGGCTTAGGGGTTTAGGGCTTGGGGTTTGGAGAATGGAGGTTTCGGGGATATGTCTTGAGCTTTCAGGATTCATAATATATAGTAGAGATAAAATTATACTTGCAAAAAAATATTTTAAATAAGATATAATCTTTAATGAATGTAATGCCCAATATATGATATAGTATATAAACCATACAGATAGATGGATTCAGCATATATAATAGATATCATAGAATGGCTTTTTGTACCCTTATACATTTCGCAACAAACATCAAGGGACGGAGGTCTAAGATATCAATGGACTTGTGATAGCAAAAATGAAAGTTGCGAAATTCTGTCATAGTTCGGTCTTTTGATATTCGGAAGAGTTCTGGGTTTGTAATGGAATATTTTTGTCTGGTATCAATTATGGCTAACTATATAGCTCCATCGATATATCCAATAAGTCTTCCTCATCGATCTCATTATAAGGAAAATTTAATAAGACATCGCCAAGATGTTGACGTTAAGAGAATTCACCTATAGAAAAGAGCGAAGACGGGTTAAAACCGTCAGCATTGCGGTCAAGTTAACGATAATGAAACTAATATAAAGAGATTAATATTACTTAAAATTCAATAATTCGAAATAATTGAGTTTATGACAAAAAATTATTTATTTAAATATAAAATAGAAAGCCATTTTTATCAAATAAGAATTAAAAAAATTTTTAGAAATTTCTCATAAAATAGAATATAGAAAATCAAACGGGTCAAATATAATATCGAATATAAATAAATATCATCATCAATACAAATTATATATAAAAAATAATTAAAATAAATTTAATAGTTTTATTAAGAAAAATAATAAAATACAAGAAATATAATATTAAAATATATCTATATTTATATCATAGTAGAAAATCATTTAAAAAATTAATATTTAAATATTCAATCTTTCAAAATAATTCAGAAAATAGAATAGTTCTCATATAATTAGAATAAATATTTTTTACAAGTTACTATTATCAAACTAAAATAATATATAATCTTATTCTGAAATATTTTTTTCAAAATAATTATATATATTCTTTTTAATAAAACCAACAAAAATATACAAAATTAAAAGAAAAATCTCTCTATTGAGCCCAAATAAAATTAAACATATATAAAATAATTGAATCGATCAATTATTTTTAATATTTCATATAAGCCTTTCTCAAAATATATATATTGCTTGAGAATATAAAAATATACAAATATTATTCTACATATCAAAGATATTTTGGCTTTAAAAATAGATTAATTAATTAACGGTATTGATCTTGATGATGAAAACGGAACCAAACGATATCAAATGTAAGGACAATATCTTGTGTCTCATCTTCTAGATGGCGTAATCTCGATCTGTTGTTCGGAGATAGAGGTACAGAAATGCAGATAGAGAAACACAAATAGAGGGAGTTAGAAGTTTAGGGTGAAACGGGTTCTATTCTTATATTTAAGTGCACAAAGGCGTTCATGAGTTTTGGAGCTACCGCATTCATCCGTCATTGGCGATGGTAAGCCTTTGGACAGACTGGTCAGTGTCTAGCATGCAGCACATTCGCACAGCGGATCAAAGTGTAGGCTGCCTGATGTCCCGCTGCGGTACTCCTGGAGTCAAGGGGCCCTAAACCCTAAACTCAAAGGCTCAAAGGGGGCCCAGGGATGGAGGATGTCCAAACTTGAGGGAGGGGAAGATGTATGGCCTCATGTCCCAGCTCCTTGACAAAGCCACACAATGTCTAATCGAGGATGGGGTGTTATGAGAGGGTGGCGAAGGGAGGGATTCCCCAAAAGGGTTTAGATTTTGTATGTATCTCGCGAGAAGTAGTAAAATATGTCGTGCGTGGGGATACTTGTAGGGGTTTTAGGGACGACACAAGGAATGTTGCTCGGATGAGAATTATACCAATGCTCCTCAGGACACATGAAGCTCAAATTGCCGATGTCAACCAACTGGAGCTCATCAACCGTCGGCGCTGCCTGCGGCTCATGGACACAGGCTCCTTGAGGAAATTGCTTGTCGTAGAGTCCATAACCCGGCGGGCAAAGGCGGGTGTACTTGCGCGAGACACACTGGCTCTTGTACTCCTGGTGGTACGTCGTCCAATGGCGTGTGCAGTATTTGGGTGTGGAGGGCGCAGTTGGGCTCATCTGAGTACTTCCACACTGGTACCGGCTGCTGTGAGATTGGCTCCTGACCCAGGGCACTGGCTTCTCTTCTTCACAGGTCAGGTTCCACTGGTTAATTCGTCCCCATGGGTAGACCATGCTGCTCTCGTTTGCAGTGGTCATAGGATCATCGGCGGCTTCTGGATCCGCGGAGGTCACGAACTCGGGAATGGTTTCACGCGCCTCAGGACCCTCATCAAAGCTGATGGAGCCCTGTTTGAGGTCATGCTTTGGGACCTCGACCATGACGCCTTCCACCCACACCTTGTTGGCAATAGGCGCACGTGTAAACAGAGCGTTGTCCTTATCACTACTGTTAACATTACTGTCATGACGGCCGCTCGCTATGATTTCATAAACATGTCGAGTTGTCCAAACAACTTCTCAACCGACCAGGAAACAGGCTGAACCTGATCGGGGGCTCCATCGACTGGCAGACAGCGCCTGGCAGGCGCGATGCTTGCTTGGTGGCAGCAGCACTGGGTCGCTGAAGCCTGCCTAAGAAGGCACGAACTCCCGGAGACTGTGGAGTCACACTCGAAACCATTCGTCCAACGGCCTGTGTCCTGGATGTTCTGCAGGAAGGCGCGCGCTGTGTCAGCCTCCACTGCCTTGCCTGTGTGGTCTGCAGACCCAGTGACTTCCTCCAACTCAAACTGGGGCTTGCTCTTGTAGAAAGTGCGGACGATACCGGACCATGGAGTCTCGTAGCTTTTGTAGGCCTCCAAGTATAGGAACGTCTTGGTTTGGTGAACATGTAGACCGATCTCTCCACTCTTGTCTTTGAGATGGCAGCATTCGTCGCTTGCGTGAGGCCTCACCTCTGAAACACACAAGTCCACCGTAGTCTGGCGCTTGTAGCCCCAGCCAACCCACGTCATGCTGAATGTAAAAGCCATCTTGCAGCAAAGATCTTGGTCTGCATGATACCAGCGGAAGTGGCTGGGATCCTCTTTTCCGTCGCTGACTTCCACATCCTCTGGATTCTTGATCGAGGGGCAGTCGGTGACAAAATCCACCTGGCAAGAACGGACACAAACACACACACAAAAAGAAAACAACAAAAAAAGTTGGAATTTGGACTGTGCAAGGTTCACACCCGAGCCTTCTTGCAAAAGCAAGCGATGCCTTCCATCATCTGCGCCTTGTCTATATCCTCTGCGTCGAGATAGCGGATTGCAGGAGCATGGTGATACTCAAAATTCGGTAAGTTGTGGCTGTACCAATCTCTGTCCGGACTGTGCACATCCTCCACGTCCACTGCCTGCTGCACGTCTGAATCCTCCACATCCACTGCGTGCTGCGAGTCCTGCGAATTGCGGACCGCTGCAGCAAAGGGCACGTAGACCGCAATGGCCAGACATCGAGCAGCCGCTGCAACCATCGACATAGCTTTCTCTCAGATTGGATTTCGAAGACAAGTCTATGAGTCGTCTATGAGCAATGCCTTGTGGCCAGAGCCGACTATGTGGCTGAAGCCGGGCATGCACGCCTAAGGTGTGAAGGATTCAACTGCAGACCTCCCCCCCGCTCTGCACCTCCTCCTCGAATCCCTGCTCTGTGTTGGCACTCTATGGCGAAATCGGGGTGCTCGGATTCTGGGCTTGACGAAGTGAACTCTTGGATTACTAGGTTCCCAAAACCTCTATAAAATGACGCTGGCGGTTGACGACTTTCCGGCAGACGGGATTCTGAAGGTACTGTCTGACTCGAAAGCAACAGCGGCACTCCTGGCCGTAAACATGAAGCCCAAGGCCTTAGGGTCGGATGTTGGGCTTTGGCTAGGCTGGTGCTTTACTTGCTGTGCAGGATCTGAAGTTCGACTAGTCGGAGTCCCATATTAGGTCGGTAGACTTTGGTTAATTTCCGTAGTATTCCTTAAACGGAGGGTCTTCGAGTTTCGGGGTAATCAATCTTTTCTTCTCATCTTTCAAGAAGTTAACCCGGGGCTCACTTCTTGAACGATGAGAAGAGCAGATTGATTTGATGATGAACATCGTGATGACTAGGATGAGTCGGGCATTGTACCCAGCAGGCAACTTACATGGTTCCCCTTGTTGCTTTGACTGTTGCCACTGGTTTGTTGTCGATGTATGTTGGTACCGAGACAGCGCACAGATCACTTGCTGAATCCATATGCTGCCATCCCAGATCAAAACAGGCTGCCGGGTACAACCCATCCACCATGATTGCACTCACCGAGCCCCCCATTCAAATTGACGCCAGCGGACAGCAGCATTTGCGTGAACTGGCACAGACTCCAACATCCCCGTGTCCCTTACCCATACTCACAGTCCCATCATCTGCTACATACTCATTGCCTCAGGGAAGCTAAGTCATCCACCTTACGCCTTGAACTTCTGAAGCCATCCTAGACCCTGAACCCCAAACTTCTGAACCTTCACACAGCTGAAACCCTGTGATCTTCAACCTTGGAGACGACTCCCGAGGCAGCGAACAAAAATAAGGACATAATCTACATGGTTCACGGTTTAGGGTTTTGGTTTAGGGCTTTGGGTTTAGGTTTAAGTTTTAGGGATCCTCATTATCGAGACTCTTCTACTGGGCTGCTTTTGGAGCTTTGCTAAGCATTGTAAGTCTCGGCCCGTTTTACTATCATGCTAAGCCAAACATGCAGACAATTTTCGAAAAACACTTCCTGACGTGCAACGAATATGGAATCTGTGTTTTCGTTTGTTCCCCGACTCCTCACACTCAAAACTCCGAGAGCTTTAAACAGAGTGCTCATACCACAAGCCCTGAATCCCACTTTAAAACCCTAAACCCTCAACCCCTAAACCCTAAACCCCTACACCCCTAAACCCCTACAGCCCTAAAGCCCTAAACCTCCGGTCTTTTTCCTACAGCCAGGGCAGTGGAAGCTCCCATCACGAAACAGGGTCCACTTTCAGAGATCTGTCAAACCCAGAGAACCCCAAACCCCCTTATGTAAAATACCGGAAATCATAATATTAAGGCCCCTATAATTTAGTACTCTGTAGGTATTCTGAGTGCAGATTTGAGCTCTCTATTCCAACCCTCAAAAGGGGGTTTCTCTATTCCGACCCTATATGGGGGTTTCCGAAAATAGGGGACCCTAATATAGTACCCTAAATAGTAGGATTCTTATTATAAGGACCCCCGGAGTTAGGTCCCCCCCCCCTCCCGCCCCCGCCCCCCCTCCCCTTATTTTCGGAAACTCCCATCTTTCAAGGGTTTAGGGGGTTTGGGTTTGCAGAGGTTGTCAGCGGGTTGCGGGTTGGGCATGCTAAGGTCTTTATCAGGTCTATTCACCCTAAAACCCTAAAGCCCTAAACCCTAAACCCCAAACCCTTAAACCCTAAGGCCCTAAAACCGTAAACCGTGTTATGCAGAGAGCCTAAACCCTACGGTTGATGATATAAATCCTGCATTGCCTTCAGGACCCTAAACTATGGGGATTATGGTATATTCCTTATTATGGGCAATGCAGGGGTTATACCATCAACCCTATCCACGGATCTTACATAGTGTGACGAGCATGATGTTGGAGCAAAGGGCTGCTGAACCCTAAAACCCTAGAACCCTAAATCCCCAAAACCCTAAAACCCAACACACCCTAAAACCAAAAAAACCTAAAACCCTAAATCCTACAACCCTAAAACCCTAAAGCCCTACAGCCGTAAAGCCCGAAAACCCTAAAATATCCTAAACACCCTAAAATCCTAAACCCTGAAGCCCTAAAGCTACGTCTTTGGGGTTCTGGGTTTAGGGCAAGTTTAGGGTACATGTATATACATATGTACACACAAGTGTGTGTATGTATCTTTGTCTAAAAATATACTTCGGCTTACGGGAACGAAGGCTTCCCAGCTGGAAAGTTGGACCCGCAAACACTTCCGACGTCGCCGCGGCAGTTTGCTGCGACTGACCTAAACTCTACTGGCATCTACGGCGGCCTTGGAAACTACTACACCTTAAACACCCAGCGCCGTAACACCACCAACCAAAATGATGTAAATGTAGGGGCCTTAATGATTAGAATAGGGTTTTGGGGTACATTATACCATAATTACAATAAGGACCCCCAAAAGAGTATAGGTAATTTTGTTTAAGGCCCCTATAGTAGGCGGTGCAATGTATGATCAGAGCTCCTGCAAGCACTTGTCACGCCGTTGTTTGGCATCTTGAGCCTGCTTCACCATGTCAGCCACCGGGGCCGTAAAGCCTTCAGCAATTCGGGTCAGTTCTCGGAGGGCCGTTAAACATACATATATATATATGTACATATATTTTTTGTATACATTCGTATGCGTATGTGTAGACACATATATCATGTAACATGTATGTAAAATCTGTTTAAGATATGCATATATCACGTATACTTAAAACCTGTACAGTCTTTAGTATAGAAGCATGACCCCTAAACCCCAAACCCCAGCAGCTCTGAATCCCAAACCGCGGCCTTTTGTTCCCCAGGCAATGTGGGGACCAGCACAGTGGTGCTCCACACCGGCGAGTTTCGCGTAGTTGATGAATTGGAAGTTTCCGCTTGCACAAATCTCCTTGGCTCTTGGGGGTCACGGTTTAGGGTTTATAGGAATAGGGCTTAGGGGGTTTTACGAGGATCTTATAAAAGGTTCTCTGAAGATTTCCTACAAGGGTCTTCGAGAAGGGCTTTATATAAGGCCTCTACCAGGGGAATCAGTGAGCTCGCCTTGCGTAGAAACATATATATATATATATATTGTTTTTTACATGTATATATATATATATGTAAATACATACATATAGAGATAGATAGAGGATAGACAAGTTAAGGTACGCATACCTCTTACTGCTCATCGCGAAGTCGCCTGATCTTCCAGCGCTGCTAGGGAGCTAGAGGCTGAGGCTTGATAGTTAGAACAGGCTTCCTTTAAGGGTTCTTCCTTTAAAGGGCTCCGTAAGAGTTAGTTTAATATAGGGGCCTTGACAATCAGAATAGGGTTTTTTGGGGGGAGGGTTTTGGGGGTAGATCGTGCTATAATGGCTATAGTGATAAGAGGCACCCTGAGAAAATAATCGTTTAGGCTTCCAGGGTAGTAACCCTTGTTGGCTCCGTCAACATCTCTTCTGACATCTGTCTTTTTGCCAAGAAGACTTTGATGAACAAGACTTTGAAGAAATCTACCCAGAGAGCCCGATACCCCTTAATTAAGGAATATACCTCCAATCATAATATTAAGGGCCCCAATAATTTAAGGTGTACATTCCTTAATTGAGGGGTATTGGGCTCTCTGGGTAGGTGATATGTGGACCAAGCGGCGTCTGAGAAAACCCACCTGAACGCTGGATCAAAAAAACCCTAAACCCTAAACCCCTGAACCCTAAAACCCTAAACCCTAAAACCCTAAAGCCCTTTAATGCCCGTAAGTCTACACCCGGAAATCCGAAATCCCCAAAGCTTGAGTCCTTCAAGCCCTTAAGGCCCTGAGCCCGAAGCCCTAAGGGATTTACGGTTTAGGGGTTAAGGGTTTAGGGTTTAGGGTTCAGGAGAATTTGGGATCGGTTTAGGGTTTAGCAACCGAATCCGAAAAGACCTACCTTTTTAGGGCTCCTTACTCTGGTTTCTACATCTAGTTCCTTAAAAATTTAAAAAGGTAGGTTTTTTCGGTAACAAAAACCTAAAACCCTAAAGCCCTAAAACCCAAAAACCCCTGAACCCTAAACCCCAAAAAATCCAAAAAACCCTAAATCCTAAAGCCCAAAAGACCTGAGACCACAAACTCCGAAAGCCTCAACCCGAGACATGTCCGCGACGACCGTCATATAGGACGGTGTAGGGTTTAGGGCTTAGAGTTTAGGGTTTAATGATTTGAATAGGCTTTCCTTTGAGGGTTCCATTAAAGGGTTCCATAAGAGTTACTATAAGGGTCTAATATAGGGCCTTGATAATTAGAATAGGGTTTTGGGGTGATGCGGACCAGCGGTCATGATCAT